GAAAACTAGGAGAGGGGAATAATATCATATAGTGGAGCCCTAGTTGGTTTGGGTTGGTGGATAGAGTGTCGACCTACAGACCGAAGGGTTCAGTTCCGGTCAAGGGCACATAACTTGGTTGCAGGCTCCTCCCCGGCCCCAGCCCTGGTCAGGGCACGTGCAGGAGGCAACCATTCCATGTGTTTCTCTCACATTAATGTTTCTATCTGTCTTTTCCTTTCTCTCCCACTCTCCCTAAAAATCAATGAAAAAATATCCTCAGATGAGGATTAACAAGGCAAATAAATAAATAAATAAATAAATAAATAAATAAATAAATAAAATAATAGCATATAGTGGATACAGTCCAAGAATGCTGCTAAACACACTACGGTACACTTTTAGACTCCTACAACAAAGGATTATCCAACCCAAAAGGTCAATAATGGCAAGGTTGAAAGATCTTGGTGTAGATTATTAGCACAATCTTTAGCTAAAGGGTATTAAATGTGTATATCTACTGAGCAAACCCAGAACATATTCTAAGGAAATGTAATATGATTAGCAAAGAGTGAGATATGCACAAACACTTTTATTGCAATGTTGTTTATCATAAAGATAATTTTAAAATACCTTAAATGTCCATCAAATATGACAATGGTAAAATTAATATGGAGTACATTCCTATAAAAGAAAACTATGCACCTATCGTTAAGATAAACTTTTAGGTGTAAACTTGGGAAGATGTCTATGAAGCATTGAGTAAAATAAAAGCAGTTCCAAAACAACATAGTATACTAGAGGCCCAGTGTATGAAATTTGTGCACTGAGGTTTCCCCCAGCCCGGCCTGTGCCCTCTCGCAGTCCGGGACCCCTTGAGGGATGTCTGCCTGCAGTGTAGGCCCACTCCATGCGGGGAGCAGGCCTAAGCTGGCAGTTGGACATCCCTCTCGCAGTCCAGGATCCCTCGCTCCTTACCGCTCAGCTCGCTGCTCCTTAGTGCTGCTGCGGAGGTGGGAGAGGCTCCTGCCACTGCTGCTGCGCTCAACAGCCGTGAGTCCGGCTTCTGGCTGAGGAGCGCTCCCCCTGTGGGAGCGCTCCCCCTGTGGGAGCACATTGACGACCAGGGGGCAGCTCCTGCATTGAGTGTCTGCCCCCTGGTGGTCAGTGCACATCATAGCCACCAGTTGTTCTGGTCATTCCGCCATAACGGTTGCTTAGGCTTTTATTATATAGACTAGAGGCCCAATGCACAAAATTCGTGCAAGAGTAGGCCTTCCCCCGGTTGCCAGCACCCAGTCCCTCTGGCACCCAGGACCTGGGCTTCCCTCCGGCCACCGGCAGGCACCTGGAACCTGGGCTTTCCTCTGGCTGCTGGTAGGCACCCAGGACCCAGGCTTCCCTCGCAGCCCTGGCTTCGTCCAGAAGGTTGTCCGGAAGGATGTCCAGTCTAATTAGCATATTATGCTTTTATTATTATAGATATCTCCCCTATGCTTTAAAAATGATCAGCATCTATATAAAAATGTCAAAATCTTAAAGGATATATGCCAAACTGTTAACAATGATTAACTCTGAAGGGTAGTATTAGAAACTTCCACTTTCTCTAGATTGTTGGAATGATGTATTACCAGATATATGTAGACATTAAAATACAGCAGTGAGGTTCATATCCAATAGTTAGTTATTAAATAATGACTGGCAATAATTCATTGAGCAACAAAAGGCAAACTAGGAGTCCTATGAGGAAGATTTGGTACATTATCAGAAACAACTGTCATACCCTCTAAATCCCGAGGATTTCCCCATTTAAGCTTCTGAACTAGGGTGGGCTGTTTTGTGGATGAAGGAAATGGAAAGTTTTGAGATCCCTGACATTCAAAGCCACTGAAAGCCTCCACCTGCTCTTAGTCACATCCTATTGGCCTTTGACCATTAATTAGTAATTTTATATTTGACTGGAGAGGCCTAAGATATCTTAAAAGGCAAGTTCAAAAATTACAACACACTGAAGCAATGTTTATTTGTTTGAAATATAATTTTATTGATTTCAGAGAGGAGAGAAACATCAATGATGAGAATCACTGATTGGCTGCCTCCTGCATGCCTATCATAGGTGGCATGCTTCATAGGTGGATGCTTAACTACTGAGCCAAGCCAGCTGGGCTAAAGCAATACTTTCCAAAGGGTAGGTTACGATCCATTAATGAGTCATCAAAATAATTTACTAGGTTATGATCAATTTAAAAAGAACAGGATAAGATATAAGAGATTAAAATAGAATAGAAAACTGGATTTTGGGTCTGGATAAAAATTTATTTCCTTATGTGGGTTATGGTCAACAAATGTGAATGTTACTTCATTATACACTTAAAAATATATTTTTATACAAGGGGGCAGGGTATGAAGAGTCTTTTTCTTCTACAAGAGTC